AATAACTGGTTCTTAGCAGAAGACTTGAGAATGCTAATTAAGTAAGCTCAGGAAGGCTGCTTCAAAATGAAAAAACTAAATCTCGAGATCCAAACTTCAAAAGAAAGTTTAAAGGAAAGACCCAGAAATTATACTTTAGGTTGACAAACTGTTGGTAGTTTGTATTTTTCAAGAGATTTGGCTATTTTATTTAATTTGCCAAATTTATTGAACTAAGTTGTTCATAACATAATCCTAGCTGTCTGGGAGGCTGAGGAGGGCGGATTGCTCAAGGTCAGGAGTTCAAAACCAGCCTGAGCAAGAATGAGACCCCGTCTCTACTAAAAATAGAAAGAAATTAATTGGCCAACTAATATATAGAGAAGAAATTAGCCGGGTATGGTGGTGCATGCCTGTAGTCCCAGCCACTCAGGAGGCTGAGGCAGAAGGATTGCTTGAGCCTAGGAGTTTGAGGTTGCTGTGAGCTAGGCTGACGCCACGGCACTCACTCTAGCCTGGGCAACAAAGTGAGACTCTGTCTCAAAAGAAAAAATAAATAAATAAAATAAACTTCTAAAGTAAAGAATCTAAACTTCTGTTCAGTTTCAAGTTGCAAGAGAGCTGCAGGCTTGCTTACTTTCTTCATTGGTTCTCTTTGACTCCTGCAGAAAGGAAGCAAACAAAGTGAACTGATAATCTCGATTAACAAGGATACCTATATTATCATTCAGTGTGAGAAAAATACATTAAGGCACCAGTACTTAACAACCAAAATGTGTGCATAACACTGGTACTACCTAACATAACAGGTTCATCAGAATAAAGAATTCTCCCCTTCTGGGTACCTAGGGAAGTAAACAATAGTCAGACCTCATTTTCCTATTCACTGTGGGCTACACTTCCCAGTTCCTGGCCCATGAAATAATGACATCAAATGTGTGCAAAATTAAAGAATCCTATGACTATATTATTTTACATTTGCATGTGCCTTTGTCTTTTATCTCCAAAATATATCTCAAATTAGTCTCCTTTTCTCTATTTTTTCCCTCATTTATTTATTGATCGATCAATTAATAGGGTCTCGCTCTGTTGCCCAAGCAGAGTGCAGTGGCATCATCATAGCTTACGGAAACTTCAAACTCCTGGACTCAAGTGATCCTCCTGCCTTACCCTCCCAAGTTGCTAGGACTGCAGGTGTACACTACCACACTTGGCTAATTTTTAATTTTGTAGAGATGGGGGTCTTACTATGTTGCCCAGGCTAGTCTCAAATTCCTGGCCTCAAGAGATCTTCCTCCTGCCTTGGTCTCCCAAAGTGCTAGGATTACAGGCCTCACCTCCATTAAAAAACCAAAAACAAATGGAAGGTCTAGACTGGAGCTGACTACCAACATGGGATTTTTCTGCTATAGACAATGCTGCCTCTTTTTTCCAAGAGAGAGGCTTTGAATGAGGAAATGACCTCCTAAAGCTGTCACATTGGAATCACACTGTGAAAACTATTTACTTTCTCCTGTATGTTCTTGGGCATTGCTCAAAATATAGCAACTTGTTATTTAATTTTATTTTTAAAATTTTGAGGCCAGGCATGGTGGCTCTTGCCTGCAATGCTAGCACTCTGGGAGGCCGAGGGAGGAGGATCATTTGAGCTCAGGAGTTCGAGACCAGCCTGAAGCACAGAGGTACCCTGTTCTACAAACAATCAGTAGAAGTTAATTGGACAGGTAAAAATATACAAAAAAAATTAGCCAGGCATGGTGGTGCTTACCTGTAGTCCCAGCTACTTGGGAGGCTGAGGCAGAAGGATTGCTTGAGTCAAGGAGTTTGAGGTTGCTGTGAGCTGGGCTGACGCCACGGCACTCTAGCCGGGACAACAGAGTAAGACTCTGTCTCCAAAAAAAAAAAAAGAAATTAAGTCTATTAAAAAAAAAAAAAAGAAAAAGAAATACAGCTGGCATAGTCTCAGAAGGAATATGTCCATAAACTCAGAAAAATACCAACACTGATAACTTGCAAAACATCTTAGCTACAGATAGCTTAAAGATAGTCTATTAAAAAGGAAGTGTTAGGGCCGGGTGCTGTGGCTCACGCCTGTAATCCTAGCTCTCTGGGAGGCCGAGGCGGGTGGATCCTTGGAGCTCAGAAGTTCAAGACCAGCCTGAGCAAGAGCCGAGACCCCCGTCTCTACTAAAAAAAAAAAACAAAAAAAAAAACGTTAATTGGCCAACTGAAAATGGAAAAAAAAAAAAAAGGAAGTGTTAGGCCAGGCGTGGTGGCTCACGCCTGTAATCCTAGCACTCCGGGAGGCCAAGGCTGGCAGATTGCTCAAGGTCAGGAGTTCAAAACCAGCCTGAGCAAGAGCGAGACCCCGTCTCTACTATAAATGAAAGAAATTAATGGCACAAATATATGGAAAAATTAGCCAGGTAAGGTGGTGCATGCTGTAGCCCAGCTACTCGGGAGCTGAGGCAGGGAGGATTGCTGAGTCCAGAAGTTGAGGTTCTGTGAGCTGGGCTGATGCCATAGCACTCACTCTAGCCTGGGCAACAAAGTGAGACTCTGTCTCAAAAAAAAAAAAAAAGGAAGTGTTGCCAACCCTTTTAAAGTTGACATCCAGTCCTACCACGGTGGCTCATGCCTGTAATCCCAGCACTTTGGGAGGCTGAGGCAGGAGGATTGCTTGAAGCCAGGAGATGAAGACCAGCCTGGGCAATAGTGAGACCTCATCTCTAAAAAAAGAAAATTAAAAAACTAGCTGGGCCAGGTGTTGTAGCTCATGCCTGTAATCCTAGCACTCTGGGAGGCTGAGGTGGGCGGATCACTCGAGGTCAGGAGTTCAAAACCAGCTTGAGCAAGAATGAGACCCCGTCTCTACTAAAAATAGAAAGAAATTAATTGGCCAACATATATGAGAAGAAATTAGCGGGCATGGTGGTGCATGCCTGTAGTCCCAGCCACTCAGGAGGCTGAGGCAGAAGGATGCTTGAGCCCAGGAGTTTGAGGTTGCTGTGAGCTAGGCTGACACCATGGCACTCACTCTAGCCTGGGCAACAAGGAGATCTGTCTCAAAAAAAAAAAAACTAGCTGGATGAGGCGACTCACTCATGCCTGTAGTCCTAAATACTCAGGAGGCTGAGCCAGGAGAAGGGTCGCCAGGAGATGTGAGGTTGCATGAGCTTGATGGACACTGCACTCCAGCCAGACAACAGAGCAAGACACTGTCTCAACAAAGTAAATTGGCCAGGCCGGTGGCTCACGCCTGTAATCCTAGCTTCTGGGAGGCCGAGGGCGGATCCGCTCGAGTCGGGAGTTCGAAACCAGCCCTGAGCAAGAGCGAGACCCGTCTCTACTATAAATAGAAAGAAACAATGGCCAACTAAATATATAGAAAAATTAGCGGGCATGTGGCTCATGCCTGTAGTCCCAGTACTTGGGAGGCTGAGACAGAAGGATCGCTTGAGCCCAGGAGTTTGAGGTTGCTGTAGCTAGGTGACGCCACGGCATCACTCTAGCTAGCAACAAAGCAAGACCTGTCTAAAAAAAAAAAAAAAAAAAAAAAAAAAAGTAAATTGCGGGCGCGGTGGTCCTCACGCTGTAATCCTAGCACTTTGGAGGGCCGAGGCGGGCGGATTGCTCAGTCAGGAGTTCGAACACCTGAGCGAGCCCCGTCCTACCAAAATAGAAATAATTATTCAACTAAAATATATATACAAAAAAAAATTAGCCGGGCATGGTGGCGCATGCCTGTAGTCCCAGCTACTCGGGAGGCTGAGGCAGTAGGCGCTGAGCCCCGGAGATTGAGGTTGGTGTAGCCAGGCTGACGCACGGCACTCACTCTAGCCTGGGCAACAAAGTGAGACTCTGTTCAAAAAAAAAAAAAAAAAGTAAATTGACACATTACAGCTTTTTATAATCTTAATCTTTTTTTAAAAATACAAAGAAGTTATATTATCACTGTTGAAATTATAAATACACTAAGCAAAAATAATATGAATACATATCCTACCATCTGGAGATTACAAATAACACTCGAGGTGTGTCTTTCTACATTATTCTACATACATTTATGTAGAACCATTAAAAAAACTATGCATTTTTAGTCAAAATCAGAGTACATTGTACTATTAGTCTGTAACATGCTTTTTTCAGCTAACAATCTTTACTTTTCAAAGCATAAATTTTCATCTAACAGTCTATATTCAAATCTTCTGTTCTCAGAATTCCTTTGTAGATTGTATGCCTAAAATCAGGACCAATCTAGACAAGCATTGATCTGATGATATATCTTAATTCTTTTTTACTTAAAACAGTCCCTTTATGGCTGGGCACGTGCTCACGCTTGTAATCTAGCACTTGCCGAGGCAGGCAGATTGCTCGAGGTCAGGAGTTCGAAACCAGCCTGAGCAAGAGCGAGACCTGTCTCTATATAAATAGAAATAATATGGCTAATCGATATAGGGAAATGGTATGCTTGCTAGTCCCAGTACTTGGGAGGCTGATGCAGGAGGATTGCTTCGAGTTTGAGTTGCTGTGAGCTGGGCTGATGCCAGGGCACTCACTCTAGCCTGGCAACAAAGGAACTGTCTCAAAAAAAAATTTTTTTTTTTAAAACAGAATAATTGGTCCTCCTGAGCTGGGACAAGCTAGTTCCAGCACACTCCTCCCTGTCCCAGAGCCTCTAGGAAGCCTCAGGATTACAGTGTCCATCTTAGGATACTGGCCAAAGGGAGACAGTCTTGGAGATGCTGCTTATTATTGAACTTTCTTTTGGAATGTTGAGAAAGCAGCGGGGAATCTTTAGGCGGACTGCTATGCTTTCTTCCTCATCTGCATATACCATTACATGGAGGCCCGGAAGCTGAGGAGGTTAGTCAAAGGTACAGAAGGAGAAAAAGGAGGACGCGATCCCACTCCCCAAGGAAGGAAAGACTCCAACGCAGAGGGAACGGGAGCTGAGGTGGAGACGGCCACTGCCTCTCTCGCTCTGTTCTCAGCCCTCGGCTCGAGAAAAGCAGACTTAGCAGGGTGGGACGGGTGCCTTTTATTGGTCTGGTCAGTGCGTGCAGTGGCAGGCTCAGGGGGAGCTTCCTTCTCTGTCCTGGCTCTCCTCTTCCCTCTCCTGGGAGTTTGCGACTCACGCCAAAAAAGAAGAGTGTCTAGGCAGGGTGGCAGGCAGAGCCAGGGTGAAAATTACAGGGCTGAGATCTGAAAGGGCTCACGATTTATGTAGAAAATGTGAGGTTGCTAGGCCACCCAGATGAAACGTCCGTCAGAGCAGGGGTCAGAAGGAAGAGCTTTCCCTGGAGGCTCCCTACTGGGCCCTTCGTGCCATCAGCATCTCCCTGATTTTGTCTTCAGCTTCCTTAACGCTCCGCTCCAGGTAGGATTTTTTCTGTTCTAATTCTTTTATTTTGTCTTCTGCTATTCTTTGTTTCTCTAACAGCTGATTGTGAATTATCTCCTTGGACTGAAGAATAAATATTCTTCCTACACCTTCATACATGTTAGTTTCATCTACCAAAGTCATAATCTCTGTATCTGTAAGATGTGCATGCTTTTTCATTCTGTTTAGCTGCTCAATCTGTATGTCTGCAAGCTTCACCTTCTGTGGAGTGTCAATAACTTTGGCTTGAAGCTCTGTGAAGGCCCTTTTCAACTCCAGATCCATGGGGGCCGCCATCTTGATACCTAAAATTTCTTTAAGAACTGAGAATTTGCCTTTTGCCGGGTGGTGGCTCACGCCTGTAATCCTAGCTCTCTGGGAGGCCAAGGCGGGCGAATTGCTCGAGGTCGGGAGTTCGAAACCAGCCTAAGCAAGAGCGAGACCCCATCTCTACTATAAATAGAAAGAAATTAATTGGCCAACTAATATATATAGAAAAAAATTAGCCAGGCATGGTGGCGCATGCCTGTAGTCCCAGCTACTCGGGAGGCTGAGGCAGGAGGATTGCTTGAGCCCAGGAGTTTGAGGTTGCTGTGAGCTAGGCTGACGCCACGGCACTCACTCTATCCTAGACAACAAAGTGAGACTCTGTCTCAAAAAAAAAACCTGAGAATTTTACTAATTTTTACTAATTTTACTTTTCAAACTAATACCTTCTCACAAAAACATAACTGGGAAATACTAACCTCAGAACTATTTGGTAGGGTACCCAGCCACTTTGTCCAGGACTAAAAGGGCTCCCAGTGATACAACCAGGAAAAATCCCAGGCAAACAAGCATGGGTTGTCACTCAAATGTTTGGTCACCCTTGGAGGGCACTTACTCATGCTGAGGAATAGTTATATAAATGATTAGTTAAAATTATCTTCTGATTCTGACCATTTTCAATATATCAAATAATTATTTATACATTTATACTTTTTAAAAATTAATTATCTTATGTCAGATAGGTACTATGCTGACATCTTAACAAGGTTTGAGGAAGGTACATCTTACACAAGTGTCAAAACCCAATCATCATGCTTATGAATTACAAAAGGATTTATACCTTTTTAACTAGACTGAACTGTACATTAATTATACATTTAGATATAGCATACATGCTTGGGAAAATGTATAACTAAAGTTACATGTCTTCTCAAACTTATGAAAGTGTGTATATATAGCAACATTGTATCAGTTTTCCATTACTTAATGTTATATCATTGTTAAAATCATATTGTAAGCCTATATTTTAACTAGATAATGTTATTTGCTTCACAGAACACAATTATTTCTTTAACACTTATTTTTAAGAATGGTTTATTTCACTTGTAGTTACTTAAACCCTAGGAATGATGTTTTTCAAAAAGCAGAACCACAGCCTTTTATAATAAGATAGTTTGTGATTTGTTCTTTTGAGGACTATATTTTAAGAAGGTTCTTCTGTAATTTGATAATGACAAAGTTTTGGTTTGTTGGGATTATTTTTCAGCAGCCAATCAGCTAACCACACCTATGGAAAAAAAGAAAAAACCCTTAAGTTAATAAACACTTAAAAATTTCCTTTCAATATATACTATATCAAATAGAAACTTAAACAGTTTTCAAAATCACTTTAAGAATAAGAAAATTACCAATAAAAATTGAAACACTCTTATTTACCTGATGCAAAATTGTTAGGTGTAGATCCAAATTGGAAAGGAAGAAGTAAAACTATCTCTATTCACAGATGGCATGATCCTGTATATTAAAAAATCCCACAGAATTCACAAGAAAACTACTAGAACTAATAAATTTAGCAAAAAAATGGGCGAAAAGCCAGAGCATGGCTCGCACCTATAATCCCAGGTACTTAGGAGGCTGAGGCAGGAGTGTCACTTAAGTCCAGGAGTTTGACACCAGCCTAGGTGATACAGCAAGACCTCTTCCCCAAAAAGAAATAAAAAAAAAGGCAAAGGACTTGAATTTAAATAGATATACTGGCCAATAAGCTCATGAAAAGAAGATGCTCAACAGCATTAGTCATTAAGGAAATGCAAATGCAAATCAAAACTACTGAAGGAAAAAAAACAAAAAAGAACATGCGTTGGATAGGATGTGGACAAACTGCAACTCTCATACACAGCTGGGTAGGAATGTAAAATGATGCAACCACTATGCAAAACAGTTGGGTGGTTCCTTAAAAAGCTAAACAAGGCTGGGCACAGTGGCCCATGCCTGTAATCCACTTTGGGAGACCAAGACAGGAGGATTGCTTGAGCCCAGGAGTTCGAGACCAGCCTAGGCAGGAGTGAGACACCATCTCTACAAAAAATAGAAAACTTGGCTAGGCGTGGTGGCACACGCCTGTAGTCCCAGCTATTCAGAAGGCTGAGGCAGAAGGATCACTTGAGCCCAGGAGTGAGGCTGCAGTAAGCTATGATGTCACCACTCTATCCCAGGAGACAAGGGTGTAACTATCTCTAAATAAATAATGACTGACATATCATAAGAAACAAAAATATTGGCCAGTCGTGGTGGCTCATGCCTGTAATCCTAGCACTCTGGGAGGCCGAGGCGGGAGGAATGCTTGAGCTCAGGAGTTTGAGACCAGCCTGAGCAAGAGCAAGACACTGTCTCTACTAAAAATAGAAAGAAATTAATTGGCCAACTAAGACTATATAGAAAAAATTAGCCAGGCATGGTGGTGTATGCCTGTAGTCCCAGCTACTCGGGAGGCTAAAGCAGAAGGATTGCTTAAGCCCAGGAGTTTGAGGTTGCTGTGAGCTAGGCTGACACCACCGCACCCTAGCCCTGGCCAACAGAATGAGACTCTGTCTCAAAAAGAAACAAAAATGTTGAACAAATTCAAGTATATCTCTAAATTTATCATTTAAATGATTATTTACCTTATACACAAAAGCAATGTTCAAAAATTAAAGACTGCAATCAATGAAAATATATTTAGAAACAACGTTTACTAAGATTTAAAACACAGCAATAGGCCAGGCGCGGTGGCTCATGCCTGTAATCCTAGCACTCTGGGAGGCCGAGGCAGGTGGATTGCTCGAGGTCAGGAGTTCGAAACCAGCCTGAGCAAGAGCGAGACCCCGTCTCTATTATAAATAGAAAGAAATTAATTGGCCAACTAATATATATAGAAAAAAAATTAGCCAGGCATGGTGGCGCATGCCTGTAGTCCCAGCTACTCGGGAGGCTGAGGCAGGAGGATTGCTTGAGCCCAGGAGTTTGAGGTTGCTGTGAGCTGGGCTGATGCCATGGCACTCACTCTAGCCTAGGCAACAAAGTGAGACTCTGTCTCAAAAAAAATAATAAAACACAGCAATAAAATAAGTAGTCAATAGTTATACATAAGAAAGTATCTAAAATGTATACAAGTTTCTAAAAATGCTTATTTTAAAAAGGCACTCAATACTATCAATGTTTCAAAGAATACAATGTTTTAAACAAGAAAACTATAGACAATATTCTTAATGTGAATAAAAAGATTTCTTACAAAAGGATCTCCTGGTTTTTGCTTACAAAGCTCTGTGAGTCCTTGAAGCAGAGTTGGTGTCACGTATAAGTTTAAATAGTCCTTAGCAGATTGTCCAATAGGAATGGGCTCAACAATCACTGCAAATACAAATGTATTCTCATTAAAACAAACATAAATGTATATAATGAGTGAGATGTGCACCATCTGGGGGATGGTCATGCTGGAGACTCAGTCTTGTGGGGGGAGGGGGGGAAATGGCATTTATTGAAACCTTAAAATCTGTACCCCCATAATATGCTGGAAAAAAAAAATTCTACCTCTGGAAAACTGGGAAAAAAAACATAAATGATTAAATATTATATAGTTATTAAAAAGGATGCCTTCAAAGAACTTTTTTTTTTTGTTTTTTGAGACAGAATCTCACTTTGTTGCCCAGGCTAGAATAAGTGTTGTGGTGTCAGCCTAGCTCACAGCAACCTCAATCTCCTGGGCTCAAGCAATTCTACTGCCTCAGCCTCCCGAGTAGCTGGGACTACAGGCATGCGCCACCATGCCTGGCTAATTTTTTTCTATATATATTTTTAGTTGGTCAATTAATTTCTTGCTATTTTTGGTAGAGATGGAGTCTCGCTCAGGCTGGTTTCGAACTCCTAACCTTGAGCAATCCGCCTGCCTCAGCTTTCCAGAGTCCTAGGATTACAAGTGTGAGCCACCACGCCCGGCCCTTCAAAGAACTTTTAATGCCATTAGAAGTACTCATAGTTTTCTTTTTTTTTTTAAAGGAAATGGAATTAGATACATTGCATAACTGTATATTTAAAAACACAAGCAAATATACAGAGAAGTAAGCCTACATAAGACTGGCAAGAAACTTATCAAAATGCTAATAGTAATCATCTACATGATTCTGATTGGTTTATTTCTCAACTATATCCTTTTCTGCATTTCCATGTTTTTTTTATAGAAAATAAACATTACTTTGTAATGGATAATGTTATGAAAAATATAAATGAACATGTAAAACTAGATTAATTTATTTGTTAAATGATAGCAGGTACTTTGTAAAGGGGCACAGATACAATAGTGAATAAGACAGAGTTATTACTGGTGTATGGTGCGCTTATACACTAGCAAATACACATAAAAAATCTAATTCTAGGCTGGGCACAGTGGCTCATGCCTGTAATCCTAGCTCTCTGGCGGGCGGTTCGCTCAAGGTCAGGAGTTCGAGACTGAGCAAGAGTGAGACCCTGTCTTTACTAAAAATAGAAAGAAATTAATTGACCAACTAATATATATAAAAAAGAAAAATTAGCCGGGCACGGTGGCTTATGCCTGTAGTCCCAGTTACTCAGGAGGCTAAGGCATGAGGATCACTTAAACCCAGGAATTTGATGTTTCTATGAGCCAGGTTGACACCATGGTACTCTACTCAGACCCACAGAGAGAGACTGTCTCAAAAAAAAAAGTTCTTCATATATTCTGGATACAAGTCCTTCATTTATTTATTTATTTGTATTTTTTTTTTTTTTGAGACAGAGTCTTGCTTTGTTGCCCAGGCTAGAGTGAGTGCCCTGGCGTCAGCCTAGCTCACAGCAACCTCAAATTCCTGGGCTCAAGCGATCCTCCTGCCTCAGCCTCCTAAGTAGCTAGGACTACAGGCATGCGCCAGCATGCCTGGCTAATTTTTTCTATATATATTAGTTGGCCAATTAATTTCTTCGTATTTATAGTAGAGACAGGGTCTCGCTCTTACTCAGGCTGGTTTTGAACTCCTGACCTCGAGCAATCCGCCTGCCTCGGCCTCCCAGAGTGCTAGGATTACAGGCATGAGCCACCACGCCAGGCCCCTTTTCATATTCTTAATGATGTATTTTGTAGCACAAAAGATTTTAATTTGATGTACTCCAATTTATCAATATTTTCTCTTAAGATCATGTTTTTGATGTCATATTTTTTTTTTGTTTGTTTGTTTGTTTTTTTTTTTTGAGACAGAGTCTCGCTTTCTTGCCTAGGCTAGTGTGAGTGCCGTGGCGTCAGCCTAGCTCACAGCAACCTCAAACTCCTGGGCTCAAGCAATCCTACTGCCTCAGCCTCCCGAGTTGCTGGGACTACAGGCACGAGCCACCATGCCCGGCTAATTTTTTATATATATATATATTAGTTGGCCAATTGATTTCTTTCTATTTTTATAGTAGAGACGGGATCTCGCTCAGGCTGGTTTTGAACTCCTGACCTTGAGCAATCCGCCCGCCTCGGCCTCCCAGAGTGCTAGGATTACAAGCGTGAGCCACCGCGCCCGGCCTTGATGTCATATTTAAGAACTCTTTGTCCAATCCAAGTCATGAAGATTTTCTCCTGTTTTCTTCTAGATGTTTTTACATTTAAGTCTATGATCTGTTTTGAGTTAATTTGTTAATTTTTGTGTATGAGGTGAAACAGGGTCTACAATATGTTCTTTTTTGTTTGTTTTATTTTTAATGTGGATATCTAGTTTTCCTAGCACTGTATACAGATACTTAACTTACAATGGGGTTACATCCCAATAAACCCATCATAAGTTGAGAATATCATTAAGTCGAAAATGCATTTAATACACCTAACCAACCAAACATCGTAGCTTGGCCTAGATAGAGGACCTTAAACACTTGCATAAATTAGCTACAGTTGGGCAAAATCATCTAACACAAAGCCAAGTTTATAATAAAGCATGGAATATCTCATGTAATGTATCAAATACTATATTGAAAGTAAAAAACAGAATGGTTGTATGGGTACTCACCATTAGGTACACAGCTGAAAGCACCACACCATAGTAAAGTCAAAAAATCGTAAGTTGAACCAGGGTAAGTTGGGTACTGTCTGCATTGGAAAGACCATACTTTTCTGATTTAATTGTCTAGGTGCCTTTGTTGAAAGTGAATTGACCATAAATGTAAGAATTTATTTCTAGCTATGATACCAGGCTAATTTTTCTATTTTTAGTAGAGATCAGTGTCTCGCCCTTGCTCAGGCTGGTCTCGAACTCCTGAGCTCACGCAGTCCTCCTGCCTCAGCCTCCCAGAGTGCTAGGATTACAGGTGTGAGCCACTGTGCCTGGCTGAGATGTCTTTTTAATGTGGTAGCACTTTAGGTTTAGTCTTATTAGTGAATTAGACTTTTCCTCTTTGTTTTTAAATGAAACAGGATAAAAACTCATTTTAACTTAAATAGAAGGTATATTTGAAAGCTCTTCTTACTCATAGGGTTATAGTCTTAAACTGTTATTTTCGATTGCCTTTGATTTTACTCAGTCTTCTAGACCTGAGTTTAGACATATAGTTAAACATTTGAGAAGCAGTGAGTTGTAGGACAAATATAAATTACTAATTTCCTACCACATTGCAAATCTTTTGCTGTGAAGTTCTTTGAAGCAAGTTCTCAGAGTTTGTGGTATGAGTGTCCTCTTGCTTAGCAGTCAACAACTATGTGCAAAACCCTATATGATAAGCCATTAAAGCAAGTTATAAAGATATTCAAATACATGTTCCCAGCCCTAGAAAAAAGTAATGCTTGGGCAGATGTGGTGGCTCATGCCTATAATCCTAGCACACTGGGAGGCCAAGGCAGAAGGATAGCTTGAGGTCAGGAGTTTGAGACCAGTCTGAGCAAGAGTGTGACCCCTTTTCTACTAAAAATAGAAAAAATTAGCTGAGCATGGTGGTCCTCACCTGTAGTCCCAGCTACTCAGGAGACTGAGGCAAGAGGATTATTTGAAACCAGGAGTTTGAGGTTGCTGTGAGCTAGGCTGACACCATAGCACTCTAGCCCGGGTAACAGAGTGGGACTGTGTCTCAAAAAAAAAAGAAATTGAAAAGCTGTTTCTAAAATTCAGTAAAATTGCAAAAGCTATAAGAGCTAAAATTATTTTGAAAAGAAATGAAGTTGAGAAACTTCTATTACCTGATTTCAAAACTTACTGCAAAGCCGCAATAATTAACTGCAAAGCTGCAATAATTAACTGTAAAGCCACGATAATTAAGACACTGTGGTACTGACATAAAGATATACATATGGATCAGTGGAACAGAATCAAAAATCTAGGAATAAATTCTTACAATTATGGTCAATTCACTTTCAACAAAGGCACCTAGACAATTAAATCGGAAAAGGATGGCCTTTCCAGTGCAGACAGGAGTCTGAAGTTGCAGTGAGCAATAATGACACCACTGTACTCTACCCAGGGCAGCAGAGTGAGACTCTGTCTCAAAAAAAATAAATAAATAAAATAAAATAATTTTTAAAAACAAAGAAAGAAAATTAATTGCCCCAAAAGTGTAATATATGTGGTTTTGGCACACACCTCTCTACTGTATATGTTGTCACAGTATATAATAAAGAGTACATGTGCAGTATATAATTTTATAGTGATGATGCCACTGCACTCTACCCAGGGTGATGGAGCAAGACTGTCTCAAAAAAAAAAAGACATTTCATGTTTGACATGTGCTTCAAAAAAATATAGAAACAGGGGAAGCAGAAGTAGGGATTATAGATGAAGTGAGACTGACCACAATTGCTAGCATTTGTTGGCTCTAATTTTGTATATGTTTGGAATTTTCCACAATAAATAGTTTTAAAGAAAAAGATGACTTAATGGAATGGATATATGACAGAAAATAAATTTGATTGGTAAAACCAAAATATGTGAAGTAGACAAATCCTTCCAGAAAACAAATGTCTATTTCAAAATGTAGGTTTTGTTTGCTTAGAATCAGGGACCATCATACTTTTATCTCTTGGCAAAAAAAAAAAAAGAAGGCTGGGTAAGATGGCTCAGGCCTGCAATCCTAGTACTCTAGGAGGCCAAGGCAGGAGGACCACTTAAGCTCAGACCAGCATGAGCAAGAGCAAGACCCATTTCTACTAAAAACAGAAAAATCAGCCAGGTACAGTGGCACTCACCTGTAGCCTCAGCTACAAGAGGCTGAGGCAGGAGGATTACTTGAGCCCCAGAGTCTGAGGTTGCAGTGAGGTAGGATGACACCACTGTACTCTAGCCAGGGGTGACAGAGCAAAATTCTGTCTCAAAAAAAAAGAATCGGGGACTTTTCAGAGTGCACAGAAAGCAGGGCAGTATGCCTTCCCCTGAGAGAATGACAGAAGCAAAGGAATAGTTATTAAGCAGGCTGAAGGGCCAGTATGGAGGAAAGTTGTCAACCCATTGTCAGGTCAGCATCAGGATGTTACCAAGCCTGTTGGCCCTAAAAAGTAACAGATCAAGTGTTCAAAAAATGAAATTTATTTATTTGGAATCAGAAATTCCAGGTTGTATCTTATCAGTTATTGCATAAATGTGAAATTGCCTCCCCCACAAAAAAATCAGAAACTTTTAAATCCCCAAGACAGCTTTGAGTTTTCTGAATGAACTTTCAGTAGAAAATATTGAGGAACAGATCTAAATGATGTAGAGAGGCCGGGCGCGGTGGCTCACGCCTGTAATCCTAGCACTCTGGGAGGCCGAGGCGGGCGGATTGCTCAAGGTCAGGAGTTCAAAACCAGCCTGAGCGAGACCCCGTCTCTACCATAAAAATAGAAAGAAATTAATTGGCCAACTAATATATATAATATAAAATCAGCCGGGCATGGTGGCTCGTGCCTGTAGTCCCAGCTACTCGGGAGGCTGAGGCAGGAGGATTGCTTGAGCCCAGGAGTCTGAGGTTGCTGTGAGCAAGGCTGACACCACGGCACTCACTCTAGCCTGGGCAAGAAAGTGAGACTCTGTCTCAAAAAAAAAAATAAAAATAAAAAAATAAATGATGTAGAGAAAAATAACATACAAAAAAAATATTCAAAATTACTCAATGCTTTGCATTTTTTCCTTCATAATGAAAATTGCCGAGTTTACTTTCTGCTCTAAAAATATTGAAAACAAACCAAAAACCTCAGTGTTTTTCCTCAATATGTCTACTTTTATAAGGTTTACAACTTCCTTAAAAAGATAGAAAACAAAAAAGAGCCTACTTATTAGTCTCACTAGTACATGAGACTTTTTTAGGCAAACAGTAAGTTGTTAGAGAAGATGGTAAATCAATCATAATTGCCAAGAGAGATTTTTTTGTGTATGTGTAACCAACTTTACTGAACCATTAGAGAAAACTAGAAACAGTTACAACACAGAATATTTCTAGCCCAAGAGAAAATAAAAGGAAAAAAAAAAAATCAAACTCTTCTCAAAAGATTCCCTAGAGGGCACAATTTAGTTATGAGGGAAATGTTGAGTTTTCTATTCATGGCTTCAAGTGTTTAAGTATCTACAATTTGAAAATATGACAAAATATATTGGAAAAAAATCCTTTTATCTGCCTTCTCAGTTATATCCCTAAAATAAAAGAAAGAGCAAACAATAAGGAGACGCAGCTGAAAATTAGTCATCTGTAACTCACCTTCTGGAAACATGAAACGGATTTCTCTTTCTGCTGCAGTAAAGTCATTGCTCCCATGAAGCGCATTCCGCAGGTCATCTGTGCCATAAATTGCTCTTAGACTAAAAACAAGTTAGAGATGATATCCATCCAATCTGACTTCTTTTCCTTACTTTATAATGTATGCATTCTACTTAGGAATTTTACAAAAGCCACATCTCACATATGAAGGCTTCAATCTATTTTAATTTTTTTTTTTTTTTGGACACAGAGTCTCCCTTTATTGCCCAGGTTAGAGTGAGTGCCCTGGCGTCAGCCTAGCTCACAGCAACCTCAAACTCCTGGGCTCAAGCAATCCTGCTGCCTCAGCCTACTAAGTAGCTGAGCCACCGTACCCGGCCAATCTATTTTAAATTTAAGGTTAAGTATATCTAGATGAAGATCAAATATATTTAAATCTGCAGAAAGGAAACACTGGAAAAATAGGAGTTCTCTGGGTAAAAAAGAGGTGTTCTTTTGTGAGAAGTGAAAAAGCAATGTATATTCAAAAGTGCAAGAACTCCATGTCCTCTTATTTCCAGATATTAGTGATAATGCTAAAAATCTACATTTCTGCTCCTATATTACCGTATTCTTTAAAAATACCATCCCAATCATTCCATGAAAAATCCTACTTCAATGGCAGTTTAATTCAAGGAGAGATGAATAAGGCTAATCAACTATAAATCAGAGATATTCCCTAAGGCCTTTTGTGGTATGTGGTATTAAGGTAGACATTTCAACAGTTAACTTGTAAAATGGACCCCCGCCCCCCAAAAAAAGTTGATTTAAGAAAACTTCCAAGTGAAAAGAAATTCCCAGCCAGGTGCAGTGGCTCATGCCTGTAATCCTAGCACTCTGGAAGGCTGAGACGAGCGGATTGCTTGAGGTCAGGAGTTCGAAAACAGCCTGAGCAAGAGCGAGGCCCCATCTCTACTATAAATAGAAAGAAATTAATTGGCCAACTAATATATATAGAAAAAATTAGCCGGGCATGGTGGCGCATGCTTGTAGTCCCAGCTACTTGGGAGGCTGAGGCAGGAGGATCGCTTGAGCCCAGGAGTTTGAGGTTGCTGTGAGCTAGGCTGAAGCCATGGTACTCACTCTAGCCTGAGCAACAAAGCGAGACTCTGTCTCAAAAAAAAAAAAAAAAAGAAAGAAAGAAAAGAAAAGAAATTCCCATTACAATATTAGATTTTTTTTTCATTTTCACAGATAGATTCCATCCCACCCACATGCTCCCAACCCAGGAAAATTACCTGTCTGGGTGTGTCTCCTTAGCTACTAAGCTATTACTTGGTCCCAAAAGTTCTTTCCAGTGAGAGATGGCTTTATGTCTAGCTAATATCATTGCAACAAGTGGTCCAGAACTCATATAAGCTGTTAAATTGGGGAAAAACATTTTTCCATACTGTTCCACATAAAAGTTACTACATTGCTCAGGGCTGAGATGTAGTTTTCTTCTCTATAAGAGAAACAAAGTCAACAAAAGCATTTAAAACAGTTCAGTGACACTTTACAAAATCATTAACAACTTGAAATTAGTACCAATCTGATAATAAATTTGAGGTTTATCCTTGTATTATGTTGTTTTGTTTTTTGTGGTTTTTCTGAGATGAGGACTCACTATGTTGCCCAGGCTAGCCTCAAATTCCTAGGCTCAAGTGATCCTCCCATCTCAGCCTCCCGAGTAGCTAGGACTGTATGCACACACTACCGTGCTCAGCTCTATCTTTGTATTTTGAAGAAAGGACATGATAAAATCATTAAATGTATATTGTAAATAAGAGCAATTATTTAACTTACTTAAGAAAAATGATTCTAGTTTGGCAGCCTCCCTCAGCATATAGTTTATTAATGACAAATTTATCATATCTTCTTCTTAAGGTAAAAAATACTCCAGTTAACAAAACTGGACTTTAGAACACTCCAAACTTGTCTTTCCCTATTTTTGTTATTTTCCTATTTATTGTGAAATTTTCCTACATTATTTTGGGAGCTGTTCTGATTATATTAATAATACTTAGCTGAGTGTGATGGCTCACACCTGTAATCCTAGCACTCTGGGAGTCAAGGCTGGAGGATCACTCAAGGTCAGGAGTTCAAAACCACCCTGAGCAAGAGTGAGACCCTGTCTCTACTAAAAATAGAAACGAATTAATTGGTCAACTAAAAATATATGGAAAAAATTGGCCGGGTATGGTGGCGTATGCCTGTAATCCCAGCTACTGGAAGGCTGAGGCAGAAGGATCACTTGAGCCCAAGAATTTGAGGTTGCTGTGAGCTAGGCTGATGCCACAGCACTCTAGCCCAGGCAACAGAGTGAGACTCTATCTCAAATAATAATACTTAGAAATAACATGCAGGATATTGATGCAGTAAAAAAAGTTTTTCACTTGAATACATGCATTCTTTATTCTGGTTCTGCCATAAATATGTAACCTTAAGAAAAATTGGTGGTATGTTTCTCAATTTGAAAGATTGAGACTTTTTGGACAAATATTATCTCCCTCACAAATGAGAGACTATAAGAATGAATCAAGTTTTAAAAATTCATGGTAGCTGAGTCAACCATCCTTCTAATTTGACAGTATCATGCTTTCCATAAAAGCAGCTATTTTGAGTACTTAAAAAAATCAACTAAGCTGAGGACAGTGGCTCACACCTGTAATCCTAGTACTCTGGAAGGCCTAGGCAGGAGGACTGCTTGAGTTCAGGAGTTGGAGACCAGCCTGAGCAAGACCCCATTTCTACTAAAAATAGAAAAATTAGCTCGGTGTTGAGGCATGTGCCTGAAGTGCCAGCTACTTCGGAGGTTGAGGCAGGAGGATTCCTTGAGCCCAGGAGTTTGAGGTTGCAGTGAGCTACGATGATGCCACTGCACTTTACCCAGGGTGACAGAGTGAGACTCAAGAGTGAGTCTGAAGAAAAAAAGGAAATTGAACCTCACTCCCCCCTCCATAAAATAAAAAAAAGTAAAAATTTAAAACAACAAAGAAAAAATTCAACTATTACTGCTTTTTTTTTCAAACCCACTAAAGATGGGTCAGGAGAGAAAAGGCTCAGAATAAAACAGAGATTTAAAGTAGATTTCAAAGAAGAACTCTGGCTAGAGTAAGGATGAGACATGGAGATAAGTCACTAGGAGAAGGCTAAAAACCCCCATAATTTCTTGAATTCCTGGCCTCAAGCTATCTTCCCTCATGGGCCTTCCCAAGTACTAGGATTACACGTGTAGGCACTTTGCCTGGCCAAAAACCTTCATGATTAGGGCAGAAACTCATCTTTCTAAAGTGGATTAGATTTTCCTAAGAGCACAGTGTGAATTTTACCAAGTGACCTAACTCTTTTTTTTTTTTTTTTTGAGACAGAGTCTCACTTTGTTGCCCAGGCTAGAGTGAGTACCATGGCTGTCAGCCTAGCTCACAGCAACCTCAAACTCCTGGGCTCAAGCAATCTTGCTGCCTCAGCCTCCCGAGTAGCTGGGACTACAGACATGAACCACCATGCCCGGCTAATTTTATATATATATATTAGTTAGCCAATTAATTTATTTCTATTTATAGTAGAGCTCACAGCAACCTGGGTCTCGCTCTTGCTCAGGTGGTTTAGAACTCCTGACCTCGAGCAATCCGCCCGCCTCTGCCTCCCAGAGTGCTAAGATTACAGGTGTGAGCCACCATTCCGGGCCCAAGTGACCTAACTCTTTTTTTTTTTTTTTTGAGACAGAGTCTCGCTTTGTTGCCCAGGCTAGAGTGAGTGCCGTGGCGTCAGCCTAGCTCACAGCAACCTCAAACTCCTGGGCTCAAGCGATCCTTCTGTCTCAGCCTCCCAAGTAGCTGGGACTACAGGCATGAGCCACCATGCCCAGCTAATTTTTTCTATATATATTAGTTGGCCAATTAGTTTCTTTCTATTTATAGTAGAGACGGGGTCTTGCTCTTGCTCAGGCTGGTTTCGAACTCCTGACCTCATGCAATCCGCCCGCCTTGGCCTCCCAGAGAGCTAGGATTACAGGCGTGAGCCACCGCGCCCGGCCAAGTGACCTAACTCTTAAAGCTGTTTCCAAAACTGTGTTTCCTCAAGTTTCAGAAACTTGGTAAAAGCCCTATAATATGCCGAAATTAAAAAAAAAAAAATTAAAAAAAATAAAAAGAAACTTGGTAAAAGTGCTTGGTTTGTAGCAAGGAATCTACACAGCCAAGAGCAAGTTTAGGAACATGCCTATCTATGTGGCTCAGCACTGCTATGAACGGGACCTGCAGCACAAGTGTAACATTCTCATCAGTAAAGGACCAGTTACTATGAAAAAGGTGCTGACATCTGTTCTCATATTGAAACTCACATAGTGAAAAAGTGAAACATGTGAAAAATTATAAGAGCACCTAATTTAGCATAATCTTTTATTCTATTATTTAAAATTAAGACATGAAAATAATTATGATTCTAGCCAGGCGCAGTGGCTCACATCTGTAATCCTAGCACTCTGGGAGGCCGAGGCGGATGGATTGCTCGAGGTCAGGAGTTCGAAACCAGCCTGAGCAAGAGCGAGCCCCCATCTCTACTATAAATAGAAAGAAATTAATTGCCTAACTAATATATATAGAAAAAACTAGCCAGGCATGGTGGTGCATGCCTGTAGTCTCAGCTACTTAGGAGGCTGAGGCAGGAGGATCGTTTGAGCCCAGAAGTGTAAGGTTGCTGTGAGCTAGGCTGATACCATGGCACTCACTCTAGCCTGGGCAACAAAGCGAAGACTCTGTCTCAAAAAAAAAAAAAAGAAAAGAAAAGAATTATGATTGTTATGCATATTGGTGGATTGTTTTTGTTTTTTTCTTCCTTAGTTTAAAAATAAAATCTCATCTGTTGCAATATAATCCTTTATCGGTCACATGCCCCTTAACAAGCAAGGGAAACTCCCTTCTGCAAGTATGCTAGCCAACGCAGCATAATTTTAAAAATTAAGCGTTCATCTTTAACTAAAATTGATACTGAATCAATGATTCCATTGGTTGCTTTAAACTTAGATTAGGTGAAACTTTTTGAAATTAGGTTGAGTATTTTCACAAAAAGAAGCAGTGATATTAAGTACCATCAGAATGGAACCTTTAGTTTGTAAAAAAGGAAACACTGCCACCTATTGAAAAGATACATCATTTTGGGGAAGATTTTCCCTGGGTGGGACAAGAAAGCCTTAAATTCAATGGATTCCCAACTATAATAAAGTCCATTTTAAAAGCATATAGTACAAAGGACAAATATTGTATGACTCTCCTGTATAAAATAGCTGGAATAGTCAAATTCCTACAGACAGAAAGTAGAATAATGGTTACCAGGGATTTGGGGAGAGGAAATGGGGAGTTATTGTTTAATGAGTACAGTTTAATAGATATCTCAAGTGTTTCAGTTTGAAATGAAAAAGTTCCAGAGATGGATGGTGGCGATGGTTGTACAACAATATGAATGTACTTAATGCCACGGAACTGTATACTTAAAATGATAAATTTTATATATATCGAAGGAAAGATGGAAGGGAAGAAATGAGGAAGGAAAGACCATGGCCACCTTTAGTCTGAAATTTATTGCTAATTGGGGAATGTGTCATATATATTTACACTAATTTTTATTTATTTTTTAATGTTTAGAGACAAGGTCTTGCTCTGTCACCCAGGCTAGAATGGGGTGGCATAGTGTGATCATAGCTCACTGCAGCCTCAAACTCCTGGGCTTAGGCTATCTTCCTGCCTCATCCTCTCACACTGCTAGAACTATAGGTGCACATCACCACACTTACCTCTTTTATTTACTTTTATTTTTTATTTTTTCAGAGACAGGGTCTCAATTTGTCATCCAGGCCAGAGTGCAGTGGTGCAATTACAGCTCACTGCAACCTTGAACTCCTGAGCACAAGCAATCCTCCTGCTTCAGTCTCCCAAGTAGCTGGAACTTCTCTCACCACCATATCTGGCTAATTTTTCTATTTTTATAGAGACAGGGTCTTGCTATGTTGCCTAGGCTGGTCTCAAACTCCTGGCCTCAAGTAATCCTCCTGCCTTGGCCTCTCAAAGTGTTGGGATTATAGGCATGAGCCACCATAATCAGTCAAAAATTCAAAGCAATTTAAAAAGGAATATACTTAAAAATCTCATTCTTATCCCCATCCTAATCTACCTGTTATTCCTTGTCCTCAACAGGTAACCCTTTTTAATGTTTGTTTATACTTCGGTGTTTCATTTTACAAATGCTGGCAAACATGAATATATTACTTTGCCTCTTTCTATCACAAAAGGTTGCTACACAGTATTTTACATCTTGCCTTTTTCCATAACACAACAGAAAAGTTCCTCATTCTTTTTTACAATTAGTTGCATAATATTCCATTTGGTGAGTTTGCTAGGATTTATTTAACCAGTCTTCGACTGCTGGGTTGTTTTCAGTCTTTTGCTGGTAAATAAATAATGCCATAAAACATAACCTGCATATATGTCACTTTATATTAATACAAGGATTTCTATAAGAGAGATTTCCAGGAGTAGGACTTCTGGATCAAACAGTAACTCTACCTGTCATATTAGGAGATAACTACCAGGTTACCTTTGATAGGGGTTGTGCTATATGGTTTGTGCTATTTATCTCAGTATAGTTTTAATTTGCTTTTTTCCTGAAGATTGAGCACTTTTTTTTTATGTTTAAGAAGTGTTTTTCTTTTTCTAGGACCATACATGTGTTCTGCCCATTTTTCTACCAATTTAAAAAATTTTTTGGCTGGGCGCAGTGGCTCACGCCTGTAATCCTAGTTCTCTGGGAGGCTGAGGCAGGTGGATGAAACCAGCCTGAGCTAGAGTGAGAGCCCATCTCTACTAAAAAAATAGAAATTAATTGGTCAACTAAAACTATCTAGAAAAAATAAGTCAGGCATGGTGGCGAATGCCTGTAGTCCCAGCTACTCAGGAGGCAGAGGCAGGAGGATTGCTTGAGCCCAGGCGTTTGAGGTTGCTGTGAGCTAGGCTGACGCCATGGCACTCTAACCCGGGCAACAGAGTGAGACTCTGTCTCCAAAAAAAAAAAAATTTTTTTTTCTTCTAAAAGCTCTTTGTATGTTAGCCTTTTTGTCCATGATACGAGTTCCAAATCTTTTTCCCAAGTTTGTCATTTTTGTTTTGACTTTGCTTATGGTATTTGGTCATACAAATATTTTTTATGTTTATACAGTCTCACTAATCTTTTAGGGCTCCTAGACTTTAAGTCATAGTAAAAAAGGCTATTGCACTCAAAGGATAAAAATAAATCCAACCATCCTTTCTTCTAGAACTTACATGATTTAATTTTTTAATATTTAAATCTCAGATCTATTGGTGGTTTATCCTGTTATATAATAGTTGATCTAATTTTTTTTAGTGGCTACTAGTTTATTTATTTATTTATTTTTATTTCAGCATATTATGGAGGTGGCTACTAGTTTTCCTAACAACATTTATTAAACAGTTCACCTTTGCCTGAGTCTTTTAATTATACTAAATATTTCCTTACACTTTTTCACACATTCCTACCCTCAGGCTCCCAAAGCTCAAATGCAATCCCTTATCTTTCCTGATGATTATTTTTAAAACACTGACTAAATAGGCAACATGATATTGTATAAATGTAAGAGAACTGGAAATTCAGATAAGTATAGTATAAAAAAGGAAGATTAAGAATATTCAATTCTATTTGATAATCTTTAACACTATTTATATTCATTTTCAAACTTCCAGAATGACAATGTTTACCAATTGCAAAACAAACATAAGGCTTAAAACATTAAATGTTTGTAATAACTGAAAAAACCACCAATAGCCTAAAAGTCCATCAATAGAGGATCAAGTGAATAAATTGTGGTTCTAACACAAAGGGGAACAATATGCAGAAATTAGGAGGAATGGGATAGATTCACATGTATCTAGAATGTCATCTGAGGGACTTTGTAAAGGTGATCAAGGGAAAGGAACTGCTCTATTTTATGGAGAAAAATGTTTGCAAACACATAGAAAACTCCTGGAACAGGAGGAAGTGTTAAGTGGATGCCTCTCTTTGGAGATTAGGACCTGGGGTGGGAGAGGACAAGTGAAGGAAAACTCAGTCTTACTTCTCATTTTATATCCTTTTGAGGTACTAAAAAACTTCTTTAAACTTTCACATATAACTTCCATACTTAGAAGAATAAACCTAAATGTAATGCTTAGCAGTAAGAATTTAAATTCTTACATTTAGATTCTATGTGTGGGCACATTTACATAATCATTTAAAATTTTTTTAAAAGAACAAACAGAAAAAAAGCATGATCATCGTGCCCAGAAGTTACCTGAACAATGGTGAATCCAGATCTGACAATGATATCTTGTATCTCTTCCTCTTTGTCAACAATGTCTGGTTTAATAATGGCCAGAGTCTTTTCTACATATATCTGAGGTAGGGGCATTGATACCTCCATTCTGGCTTTTCCGGGTGCAATTTAAGCTTCTTGACACGTATCGACTGCAACGACACGCACCCCCATCCCAAATTCAACGTAATTGTGATTAAGAATAGCAATATGAGGTAATTGACTTTATTCATTTATAAAGGTAGAAACTGCCATGTTTTTCTTTAAGCAGGGTCTTAATAACATGATTTCTACCGCGTCGAAATGGAGCCTTGGTTTTCAGACAGGCTTTCCCCAAGACGGGAAGGACTAAGGGGCTCCCTGACCAGAGGCCAAGAGGCCACAGGAGGCCTGGAACTAGCTAGGCTCCTGCAGGCAGGGGAGCGCAGGCGAGCGCCTCGGCCGGCTGCGTCGGTGAAGTGACCCTGTCCCTGCAGGGACCACTCCGCGTATAGGGCCAGGCCTGATTGGAAAGCAGGGTCCGTAGGTCCTCTCCCAGCTGCACCTGCAAATTCTGAGTATGACTCTACGAGCACTCACCTCAGCGCCCGCCCGCCCGCCCCTCCTGTGTGACCACTTGTTGCTAGGAGACCCGAAGTCCAAAACCCAGCTGAGGGACGGTGGCTGCTGAGGGCCAATCTCAGCGACGCGACTCACTGCCTCTGACTGGTTGTCTTAACCAAAAGAGGGAGCCAGCTACAACTGTTATTATTCTCCTTGTGAATCTTAGAGCTCATAATTTATCTTATTTTCCTCATATTTATCTTATTTTCTCCTTCTGCCCAGTTGAAGGATGTTTCAATTATCTTCACTTTATAAATAATGAGACAAATCAGACTCCCCACTCCCGTCCAGACAGTGAATGTAAGGAGACCCTTGTCAAATACCTTTCCTCATTTCACCAGATGATGGTGTCTATTCCTAGCTTCTGTAATCATTAAAAAGCAATATTCAGTTTGTGAAATGACATTTATTTATGGAGCACTAGTAAAAGGTTTAATCTATTAAATAATTATCTCTTAAACATATGGAACAAAGATGGCATAAACCCAAAACTCAGCTTGCCTCTTTTTTTAATATTATGTCCACAGGCATCTTTGACTCCTTGGTATTAAGGTATTACTCTTATTAGAAAAGACAACAGTGAGATGTAAACAAATACTGGGATCTTTCTTCTGTGGTTCAGAGTCTGAGGGAGAGGTCCAAACTTCAGAAAAGATTAGAGTAGCAGCTCCAGGTTAACAAAACAGGTTTTCCATCATCCATTGGGTTGGCTGGTTCTCATTCCACATTACTTAAGTCTCTTCTTTTATCTAACCAAATACTCAGCACCTACAGGGTCAAGGCATAGATAGCAAGCTATGAATCTTAAAAACTACAAGGAATCAAACGTAATTACATTTATTTTTTGGCAAGTAGATTCAACTACAGAGGGTTTTTGTTTTGTTTGTTTTTTTAGAGACAGGATCTCGCTCTGTTGCCCAGGTTAAAGTGTTCACCGTAGCCATCACAGCTCACTGTAACCTTGAGCTCCTGGGCTCAAGCGAGCCTCCTATGTCAGCCTCCCAAAGCGCTGGGATTTCTAGGCATAAACCACCATGCCCAGCTTAAACTACACTTTTTCTTTGAAGTATGCTGCTTCCCAGAAAAGAAATGCTCAGATGTCTTCTAGCTACTATGTCTTATCCCCTAAAGATGGAAAAATGGGAACATACATTAATATCAACAGATGTATGGCCGGGTGTGGTGGCTCATGCCTGTAATCCTAGCACTCTGGGAGACCAAGGCAGGAGGATCACTCAAGGTCAGGAGTTCAAAACCAGCCTGGGCAAGAGCAAGACCCCGTCTCTACTAAAAAATAGAAAGAAATTAATTGGCCAACTAAAAATATATAGAAAAAATTAGCTGGGCATGGTGGTACATGCCTGTAATCCCAGCTACTTAAGAGGCTGAGGCAGGAGGATCACTTGAGCCCAGGAGTTTTAGGTTGCTGTGAGCTAGGCTGATGCCACGGCACTCTAGCCCGGGCAACAGAGACTCTGTCTCAAACAAACAAACGAACAAAGAAATTAATTGGCCAAGTAAATATATATAGAAAAAATTAGCCGGGCATGGTGTCATATGCCTGTAGTCCCAGCTACTCAGGAGGCTGAGGCAGAAGGATTGCTTGAGCCCAGGAGTTTGAGGTTGCCGTGAGCTAGGCTGACACCATGGCCAGGGCAACAGAGTGAGACTCTGTCTCAAAAAAAAAAAAAAAAAAAATCAACAGATGTAGCAACCAAAAAATAGTGACTCTAGTCTCTCACTTGAGGTTCTGGAAGCAGGAGCTCCCATTTCTTCTCTATCTTCCAATCTCTTTATCTTCTTTTTATTTTTTTTATTTTTATTTTTATTTTTTTTTAGAGACGGGGTCTCGCTATGTTGCCCAGGCTGGAGTGCAGTGGCTATTCACAGGCGCGGATCCCACTACTGATCAGCACGGGAGTTTTGACCTGCTCCATTTCCGACCTGGGCCGGTTCACCCCTCCTTAGGCAACCTGGTGGTCCCCCGCTCCCGGGAGGTCACCATATTGATGCCGAACTTAGTGCGGACACCCGATCGGCATAGCGCACTACAGCCCAGAACTCCTGGGCTCAAGCGATCCTCCCATCTCAGCCTCCCGAGTAGCTGGGACTACAGGCGCGCGCCACCGCGTCCGGCTCTTTATCTTCTTTTTAAAATTTTTTTTATTTTTCCACATCCAAAATTGAAGATATTATTTATTTATTTATTTATTTTGAGACAGAGTCTTGCTTAGTTGCCCAGGCTAGAGTGAGTGCCGTGGCGTCAGCCTAGCTCACAGCAACCTCAGTCTCCTGGGCTCAAGCAATCCTCCTGCCTCAGCCTCCCAGGTAGCTGGGACTACAGGCATGCGCCACCATGCCCGGCTAATTTTTTCTATATATATAAGTTGGCCAATTAATTTCTTTCTATTTAGAGTAGAGACGGGGTCTCGCTCTTGCTCAGGCTGGTTTCGAACTCCTGACTTCAAGCAATCCGCCCGCCAAAATTGAAGATATTATATCCCTAGTTCTTTTGAGAGCTCTTCACCACTACCTACCTGGCTTCCTAGACTAATTTACTATCCATTAATGCTAGACCTAGTGAGGCTCAGGGTTTTCCAAACCAGCAGGTATAGTATCAATCCTCAGGGTCTTGAATCACCTCTAAAGATAAACTCTAGGAACACAAGGTCATCTCAATATCATCTGTATTTTCACAGACTTTCCAAAATCAGATCCCGGAAGCTATACTACTTTTTCTTGTAGCTCTCTATGTACAATACCTGAATCTGCTCCAAGACTTCTCGCTGCATCTCCACAGCCATATGGTACACATGATGATCCGAGTCATTGTACATCACAGCATTTTGAAACATGAGCATCAGGTCCCTTTGGAACTGGGCCATGGTGCGAATCCGTCCCTTGGACAGATTCCTCTTCAAGCTAGTTAAGTCCATGGGTCTGCAGGTAGCCGAGAGAAACCAGAGGAAATCAAACCTTCATGTCGAACGTGTGGTGACCTAGCATGCTCTCTCAGAGAACTAACCAGTTAATGAAAATTGTAGCAAAGATAAAATAACAAAAGCAACTAACATTTTACTATTTATAACAGGCAAAGCACTATGCTAGGCACTTTCTATGTCAAACTCACTTAATCCTCTCAATTACCCCACAAGGGAGGTACCATTATTATTTGCATTTGCCCAAAGTCACACATCCTGGAGTCCAATTCAGAGGCAGCCTGACTTCAGAGGCCATAGGCCAAACCACTACATTCTACTATTATAGGAGAAGTGCTGGCTCTAGGTTTACCAAAGTTGTGAAAAGCTCCAATGATCAGTTTATCACACAGCAGTTTATTGGATGTTTGCAATGTACAGTGATATATTAGGTATTTAATCTATTTTTCTTATTGCATAAATCAAAAGCTAAGAAGTATTGCTTCTCCTTTCATGCAGATGAAAAGAGTAAGGATCAGGTGACAAGTAAGATAGATAAATCATTATTTAATGAGACACAGAAAGTAGGTATATAACAGGGGGCATACAGGGTACAAAGAGGGCTGAACTGAAGGTAAAAGTCTGGGGTTTAGTTTTAGCTCTGCTATTAACTGTTGGTTGATCAAAGGTAAGTCATGAGCATCTCTGAGCCTTAGTTTCCTCATTTATAGAGTGAAAGAGTTTGTCTCTGCTATGGTTTGAATGATCATGTCCCCTCCAAAATTCACGTTGAAACTTAATTCCCAATGCAACAGTATTAAGAGGTGTGGCCTTTGGTAGGTAAGTAAGTCACCAGGGCTCTTCCCTCACAAATGGGATTAGCAACCGCGTGCAAAGGATGCAGATTGAAGAGAGAGCACTCTTTTTTTTTTTTTTTTGAGACAGAGTCTGGCTTTGTTGCCCAGGCTAGAGTGAGTGTTGTGGCATCAGCCTAGCTCACAGCAACCTCAAACTCCTGGGCTCAAGCAATCCTGCTGTCTCAGCCTCCTGAGTAGCTGGGACTACAGGCATGTGCCACCATGCCCGGCTAATTTTTTTTTTCTAGACATATATTAGTTGGCCAATTAATTTCTTTCTATTTATAGTAGAGACGGGGTCTCGCTCTTGCTCAGGCTGGTTTCGAACTCCTGACCTTGAGCAATCCGCCCGCCTCTGCCTCCCAGAGTGCTAGGATTACAGGCGTGAGCCACCGCACTCGACCGAGAGCCCTCTTGTCCTTCTGTCCCTTCTGCCATATGAGGACACAGCATGCATCCCTTCTAAAGGATGCAGCAACAAGTCACCTTCTTGGAAGCAGAGAGTGGCCCTCACCAGACACCAATCCTACCAGTACATTGATCTTGGACTTCCCAGCCTTCAAAACCTTAAGAAAAAAATGTCTATAGTTTATAAATTACCAGTCTGTGGTATTCTGTTATACGAACACAAGCAGACTAAGTCTCCAAAGGTCCTGTCATGAGCTTTTATACTCTATTACCACGCTTGTTTATTATAGCATTTTAGATGACCTATGCTGTAAAAATCCAAAATGATGCAATTAACAAATGTTTGTAACTTCCATTTGGATTAAATCTTTGCCTTAGCATGCCTACAACTAACTGTCTAAATGAATACAGGACTCCTTTTAAAGTTTTGCTTCAAAAGAATAGTGTCAAAAACTATCAAAGGCTAATTTAAGATCATAATGAATGGATCATATTATATATTAAAAGTCAATACTGCAAAAATACAAATAAAAAGCCCATATGAACCTTCTGTTCCCTGCATCCCTTCTCAAATGAAGATATGAAGCTCACCACAACTTTGCAAACCTGTTCAGTATGAAATATTTCTTGAATTTGCAAGTAATGTAAATAAAGAAATAATCTAATAGATGGGAAATAAGGAATGAAAAGGCAGATATAAAAGCAACCAACCTTTCTTGACCCCTTTTCCACTGACCTTTTCACCACATCCTTGTACCCCGGGGCCTGCCTTTCTGACACAGGCTTCAGAAATGGACTGCTGAACCTGTTAAGGGACAA